ATTATCTTAAGTTTCAAATATATACATATATGATAGAGGAAGGGAATTCATTCACGAGGAAAACAAATGGGAGACATATATTTAAAAATATAAAATATGTGACTGCGTCTGTGTAGGTCATAAATAAACTCAATAGAGGAAGTAAAATAACATTAACTGCAACCCGTAAAAGGCAAAGATGTTATTACACAAAAAAGACAAGCCCACCATGATCAGTGAATGGGAAGATCAGCAGTGCAATGCAACACGTTTATTACAGTGATCCTATCTAAAAATAATATAGTTTAACAGCCACTAAGCAACAGGTGCAGTGATGCCAAGCGAGTGCCAAACCCTCCAGTGGTATATCGTTAGACAAGTTCCCACACGCCTTCTAGAACAAAGAACGTTATTTCAAATTGCCACATACCAATCAATGATATGGTTTCAGCGTTAACCCATGATACCAAGTGTTACCATATGCTTCAGTGTTACCATTCGAGAGTTAGGCCTCGACGCGGCACCTCGCATTCGTCACACGCGTTACCATGGTGACAGACGACGCCACACTCTATCATGGCGGGATAAGTGTCACCGTGTATTGTGGTGCCAATCCAGAAATACGCCTTATCACGCCTCAGACAGTATCATTTATGCCAAAAACACGTATGCATGAGATACAGGTAATGCCAAAAGAATTGCATCTATCAAAACACTTGACTAAGTATCAACAGCTATTCTCTATCATGATATCATCAAGACAAAAAAAAATAACTATCACAATCCAGTAAAGACAATCTTAGAAATCATATCCTATCAGTTACACAGCATTTGTATTCATAAATTTCTAAAATCGAACTCTAAAAGTTTTTTTTAATCATATTTCGATCAATATATAAGATTCAGGTTACTTTTTCGCCCTCAGCGGTTGGAGCTGTGACGTCACTCGGGAGCACAGCCCACCTAAGCATTTTTAATTATCTATTTTATTTTTCTCCGCGGAAGATAAGCTTGCGCCATATATATATATATAAAAAATACCACACTAAAAGATCACTATGTACACCTTATTTACACTTCAGACATTGTACTTCACCGGTAGAATCACCACATGATCTAAAATCACCTAAGGGAATACGACTACAGACTACTATCACTTTACATTGCAACTGCCTACCATGGTGTTTGACAGAGGATCGCACCTTTTATTTGTAAATTTGCTACCCAGCTCTCTCTTTTTTTTTTAATTCAGTTTTTTTACGGTAAAAAATATCACTAAAACCTAGCGATTATCATAAAAATGGGGAGGGATCACTGCCTACCGCCTTGCGTGGGAAATCACAAAAAAGAAAACGTTTGTCGGGAACTGCGAAAAGTTTTTCAAAAAAATCTTTTGTATGCGGAGAGAGATTATGAGAGAAAGGGAGAGAATAATAATAATAATAATATTAATAATAATAGTAATAATTACCCTCTGACCATCACAGCCCGGTATGCTGGGACGGGCCTCTGAGACTATTGAGGTAAATATCATTGGTAGGTATTTGCTTCATTACTGGAGGAGCACCAAGTTCCACTAATGCCCATGGGTCAATCCGGAGATCAGTATCATGCTATAAAATGAGAGTATCGTTTTCTTTTCATCTTGTTTTTTCCCTGTTTAATATAAAATAACGAAAGGTATGCGAAAGGATGATATACAGATATATATATATCCTTTGTTCTAGTACATAGAGGAAGTATAGCAATAAGAAGTCTATAGACATAAGCAAGACTGCACGCTCCTGCAAGAAGTCGATGCAGCCTGACTGTCATTGGTTCAGCAATATCTTAAAATCTATATTGCAACGAATCCACATTAAACCTAGACACTTGTAGTGCCAAAAAACTACGTCGTGTCTTGTATTTATCCTGTTATCCGTATATTCTGTTTCATACAGCCTACACGTAAACACCAAGGCTGATAAACTTGTATTATAGACACACACGTGACATCTAGAGGAAAGTTATGAACTTTCCATGATCAAATATATCTACATATGATTATTTAATAATGCCTTAAATGTTTTTGTCAAGCAGAATACAAAAATACGCACCACGCAGTAGCCAGCGAGGTATATTTGTTTAATGTCTCGAAATACTCTGCTGGGCGTAGCGTCCAAAGAACTCAGGGCTCAAAGCCTCGTTTTCGGCCTGCGCCCGAGGATCGAGTTCTCGGCAGCGGCCCAGCACCCGACCGTGGCTCGCTCTGCAGGCCGGCGGTCGGCAGAGGCGCGCCAGAAGGCAGTGGTGTCCTTGGCTCGTGCGTCCTGCGTGGCTCGCGGCGCCGTGGTTCTCGGCTCGCCTCTCAGGCTGAAGAAGAGCCACGGCTCCTTGTATCCCGAGGCCCCGGGAGGACAGCTGACTTACAAGCATCTAACATAACGTTGCCTATCAACATCACACATTCTCTCTCGACCTAAGTTAGCGCCTATGTTTGACTCATAAGGAGCACGTTCGTGAAGTTGGAGTTGTTGAACTTGAAGTGCCTCTTGTCGTAGAACTTGAGGAGGGCGGGGCTGTAGGGGTGGTTGTCCTTGAGGTGGAGGTAGTGGCACTCGGGCTCCCCGGTGGTGTGGCCGCACTCCTCGCACACGTAGACCTTGGAACGGCGCTCCTTGTAGGCGTAGCTGTGCTGCACGCCGTGGACCTTGAGGCAGTGGGACTCCAGGGAGCACCGCTGGGTGAATGACTTCTCGCACAGGTTGCACTTGTAAGGCCGCACACCTGCAGGAGGAAATCAAATCTGTCATCCCTTTTTCCTCAGAGAACAAAAACAAAAACAAAAAGACCGTTCATTGCAATATCATTCCTATTGTCTTCGCATCGTCCACTTCACTTGTTACGAGAGACTTACCAGTGTGAGTTCTGGTGTGGCGTTTGAGATCGAAGGTGTCGTTGAAGCCTTTGCCGCAGAAGGTGCACAGGTATCGCTTGACGTCCGAGTGGCACTTCATGTGGCGGTTCAGGAGCCTTTGCAAGCTGAAGGTCTTCGAGCACACGCGGCACACGAACTTACTGCTGTCGTCTTCAATAACTGGAAAAGAGAGGAAGAAAATGAATAAAAATGGGAAAAAATGGAAATGAAACTGCGATGATAATTTGATCACCCGACCGTGACTCATCCAATCATATGATATCAGAAAAAAGCTTCAAGACGGTTGTCTCGAGCAAAGGGCGCGGCCGTACCTGGCGGTGGCAGCTTCTCGTTGACGTCCTGCCTCGGAGTGTCGGTCGAGGGCGCCAGCGGGTTCTTGATGCCGTGACCTCCGTTGACGAACTCGAGGGGCGTGTCCTCCGGAAGTCCCAGGCGTTGCTGCAATATGGACACTCGAACCTGAAGCGGCACTTCATGCTGGGGGAAGGGAGGAGGGGCAAAACCTCAATGGTGGAATCCAAGTGACTCTCCGAAGTGAATCGTGACTAAGTTCATTGACTTTCTTTTTTTGTTTTTATTAAGAAAAAAGATGAACAGAAATTTCTCTAAAGTGGCTAATTGAAAATAAACAGAAAGCGGTGCAGGTATGGGGGCGGGGTGGGGGAGGGTAGCGTAGTATATATATAAAAAAAAAAACGTACGACAGACGCCGCTGTACAACAGGTGTGGGCGGTGCGTGCAGAGAAGCGGGGCTTACCTGTATGTCATGCAGCGGCGGGGAGGAGGCGTCCATGATGGAACTGCCGCCGGGGGAAGGGCGGCTCGCGTAGTTGGTCTGGTACTGCGGCGACGTCGGCGAGCGCTCGTTCCAGCCGCTCTGGAGGTCCGTCGACGACACGAGCGGGACCTGGAGGGAACGGAGACGAAAGTGTCAGGAGGAACGTGAAGAAAAAAGGGCAGGAGAGTAGAAATGGTGAGGCAGTGTCGTGGGAGTAAGCTCTCTTTGCTTTGCTTTTCTATCATTATGAGAATCATCATGAAATCAGGATGAAAGCGCTGGCCTTACCTGCGTCTGCGTGGTGAGGGGCTCGTAGGTCTGCGCCTCGGGGGGCGAGCGGAGGGTCGTCGTGGCGATGGGGAGCGGCGAGGTGGCGCTGCTGAGGGGCGGGGACACGGGGAGCGGCGACGGCGAGGGCACGGGCACCGTGTACTGCGTCTGCGTCTGCGTCTGCATCTGCTGCTGCTGGAACTGTAGCTGCAGGGACTGTTGATGCTGCTGATGCTGTTGATGCTGAAGCTGGTGCTGCTGGTGCTGGTGCTGCATGTGCTGCAGGTGCTTCTCCCTGAAGTGCGAGGGCGCCGGGAAGGCGGGGGACGTGTCGTTGGCGGTGAGGGGGATGCTGCGGCAGTGCTCGGGCAGGGAATACACGTGCGGCTCGACGGGCGAGGGCAGGGGCGGGGGCTGGGAGGCGCTCTCGATGCTGGAGATGCCGGAGGGCATCTGGCCGCCGCCGCCGCCTCCGTCAGCGCCGCCGAGGCCTCCCTTGTCGCCGCCCAGGCCCAGAGACCCGAAGAAGGCGAGGGAGGTCTGGGACGTGTCCATGTAGCCGCCGCCGGAGCTGCTCCCGTGCTGGCTGGGGGGCGGGCCGCCGCCGCTGCCCTGGCCGCCGCCGTCCTCGGCGTTCGTGCACTCGCGCAGCCGCATGGACGCCAGCACCGGCGGGAGCGACTGCGGCGAGATCGTTCTGGGGGAGCGCGACCTGCGCGTCGTGAGGTCGTAGGGGAGGGCGTGGTCGTCATGGTAGCGCGACGGCCGGTGGTCGTATTCCATGGGGGACGGCGCGCGCTGGTGGCGCCTGACGTCGGAGAAGGGGGGAGGCGGGGGGACGCGGAGCGGCGGGGACGTGGCAGTCCAGGGGCGTCTCCTGCGGCGGGCACAGCAGGTCGGGGACGGGCATGGAGGGCGAGCGGGGGCGCCCCACCAGCGGCCTGGGCAGGATGCGGCTGATGGGCGGCAGCGTGCGGCGGGGCGCCTCCGCGGCCGAGTCCAGGCGCCCGGGGCTGGCGGCGCGGGCGTCATCGCGCCAGTAGCAGGTCTCGTCATCTGCAAGGGACAAGGGAAGGGCGTGAGGATGCTGCCGCGTACGTCTTGTTTCAAGAAGATAGCATTAGGTTTATAAATCTTTCCTGAAGTAGTATCATAATTGTCAAGGATAAGCGTTTTCAAGATTGAAACATTGTGACCAGCTGATTAGAATTCCTGATCATTCCTGTGAGGTCACATGGGGGCACATCAGGTCAAACGAATCTCAAGAATCCAAAGATCCGAAATCCAAATAATGATCTTCGTTAGGAAAAAAAGGCAAAGTATATCCTAATCAAAAACATTACTTGATGATTAGCACCTGAGATTCACGTGCCTCGGGATGATACAGATCGACCCAACCTGACCTGACCTACGATTTGTCCCTCGTCATATTAACAGGTCACGGACTGACTACCTGAGGGCCTTTATAAACCGCTTAGAAACACATGGAGCAAAAGAAAGAATAAATTAATGCTTTCTGAAATTTTGTTGTAAAACCTAAAGTTGTGAATTAGTTATCAAATAGTCCGGGTTGTTATAAGATTTTTTTAAATGAAAAATGCTCTTCACATATTCAGATTATGTTTTCTTCAATCAAAACTATTTCAATTGATGATAGTAGTATATAATCAACGTACTGATACCTCTGGAATAAAATTATCGAGAATAGATTTCAGACCTCCATGTCACCCCTCCTCCCCCTCCCCTCCTCCCCCCCTGGCCCATGTCCGCTTCCCCTGGGGATTTGACCCAACACCTTTCCTGTGACCTTAGGTGAGGTTACTCGATTGTATCGTTCGGTGTCGGGGCGGGATTAGGAATGTAATAATGTAATTGTTGGAAGAGAGAAAGAAATAGAAAAAATGGCGTAGTCTTAGCACCTCATTTACGAATACACACATGTACGCACGCACACACATGCACACTTACGAGCGCGCACAAAAACACACGCACACACATACACACACACACCATGTAACTCTATCCATAATAACACGCACCGCACACTGTACCAGGTGCACCGAATGCCAAAGACAAAAAAATCCTTTTTCTTTTTCGTTATGCAAAAGGGCCGCATTGTCTCCCGGACCGAGAAATGTCAGAACGAACACACCAAATCCACGACATTGTTCCGGCCGGCCGTGACGTAAGGGAATCGACCTGCTCTTTAAAAATGGCGCCGAAAGTGACACGCCAGGACGAAAGACACTCTCTCGGGCTTCCGGAAACGACGAAAACCGGAGGAAAGTGGTCGCGCGAATTCGGTCTTTAGCTCGACGTGGGCGGAAGTTTCACGGACGACGGACACGGACGTCGAAGGAAAGAGGGAGAAGGGTTGAGAAGTGAGGGAGAGAAAAGGAGGGAGAGTAAAAGAGGAAGAGAGGGAGGGAGGGATGCAGGGAGAGAGAGAGAGAGAGAGAGAGAGAGAGAGAGAGAGAGAGAGAGAGAGAGAGAGAGAGAGAGAGAGAGAGAGAGAGAGAGAGAGAGAGAGAGAGAGCGGGGGAAGAGATAAGGAGGAAAGGAAAAGTGAGAGAGAGTTAAAAAAGAGAGGGGAGAGATATAAAGGGACAGGAAGGCAAGAGGGAGACAGGAGTAAGGAAGGGAAAGGAGATAGACAGAGAGAAAATCATAGAGACAGATAGATAGAGAGAGAGACGAGCAGCGTGACGGCGCCATCTGCGAGCGGCATCGGGACCTCCGCTGCTCACTTCCGCGTCTCGGCGAGAGAGGAAGTGGCGAGGCGCGGCGGCCGAGCGAGGCTGCTGGTGTCTCTCGGCAGAGTTCCGTTCTCTCTCGTCTTTCTTTTCGCTTCGGGACACCAAAGAGGTTTCTCTCTCCTCCTTTTCTCCTTCCCTTCCCTTCGAATGTATCTCCTCACTGGCTTTCTACCTTCTATCTCTCTCTCTCTTTATCTCCTATTTTCTCACTTCCCTTCTTCCGTGGTTGTAGCGAGAGCGAGGGAGCAAAAAACGACGTGTGTTGAGGGGTGTGATTTCTGGTAACGGGATGTCGTTGGGGGAAGAGGGGGAGGGGAGGGGAGGAGAGGGAGGAGAGGGGAGGAAGGGGAGACTGAATAAAGCGGAAGAGGAAAACGAGATAAAGATGAGGGGAAAACGCAGAGGAAGAAGGTAGACGGGAAAGAGTCGGAATGAGAGGAAAATGAAGAGGAGGAGAAGGAGGAGCAAAGGGGAGAAGGAGAGTGAGGTTGAGGGAGGAAGGAGTAGAAAGGAGTAGGGAGTTCGAGTGTTGTTTTACTACAAGTTCGACGGCTTCATTCACCAACTTAGCTGCCGATACTTAGTCGCCTTTCTCGCTTTACGCTGTGTGTGTGTGTGTAAAAATATCAATAAATTTACACTATATCATTTTAATTCTTTTCTTGTTCCATTTTTAATCACTCGAAAATCATGATTTTATTCTACTTCTATTTCTAGGAAAGAATAGTAAAGTAAAATAAGTTACTATTTTCTGTCCCAAACTTCTCTCCTTTTCTGTAAAAAAGTAAAATAAATCAGCGTTAAGGAAAGCTCATTTTTTACTCTTTTACGATCCTGTAATCAAAGGCTTTCGCGAGTGAGGCGCAGTCTGCCTTCTCATTTGCATAATGTGTGGATATTTAGCCGACGGAGGAAAGCGGAACTGCGAGGCGAATACAATAGGCCCACCAACAAAAAGAAAAAAAAAAAAAAAAAAAAAAAAAAAAAAAAAAAAAAGAAGGAAGAAAGAAAAAAATATATTGTCCAGCCGAGGGGAGGTGGGGGTGGGTGGGGGGGGGGGCTTGCAGTGGTCATGCACGATGGGCAACGAGCGTGCTGGGGGGTCGTAGCAACGGGCGTGGTGCATGATGTATGATTTTTTTTTTTATGGTGAGTGGTGTCTTTTTGTCAGCTTATATACATGGATTTATATCCCTTCCCCCCCCCCTTCACCCTACCTCCCCACACCAAACAAGCTCCCGTTCCCTTTCCTATAATCCTAATCTATCCTACTACCTGTTCCAACCCCCCCCCCTCCCCATCCCCCACCTCCCACCCTCTACCTTTGCCCCCCCCCCCCCCTACCCCCCTCCCATTTAATTCAGGGGCTGCGGGTTTTGGGCAAAATTTTCACGGTTTTGCATAATAAAGGGTTTGACCGGAAGTTGCACATTGCAGACTGATTGCAATATTGCGCGTTCGCGTTTGCTCTCGTCCATGTCGTTCCTTCCGTGTGGCGCTTTTGGTACTTTTTGTGGCGTTGGTCATTTTCGAAATGAAATGAGTTTTATTAATTTATTTTTGGCTAGTTTGCATGGGTTTGTTCTCTCTCTTATTATCTCTTCACATTCTTTCTGTTTCTCATTCTATTGCGAATTCGCGTGGTTTCGCATGTCGTTGCTTTGTTCCATGTCGTATGGTGTGGGGCGTGGTCATACGAAAAGAAGTGGTTGTTAGGTCATTTGCGGGTTTGAGTTCTCTCTCTATTATCCACACGTTTTTTAGTTTCTCTCGTTCATGTCGTTCCTTCCGTGTGGCGCTTTGGTACTTTTTGTGGCGTTGGTCATTTTCGAAATGAAATGAGTTTTATTCATTTATTTTTGGCTAGTTTGCATGGGTTTGTTTTCTCTCTTATTATCTCTTTACATTCTTTCTGTTTCTTTGTTTCTCCCTCCCTCCCCCGTTCCCTCTTTCTTTCTCCCTCTTACACTACAGCTCCGGACCCACCCCCATCACCGCGTCCTCCACCATCACCCCCCTCCCCTACCACCATTTTCCCCAACAGCTTCTCGTCATCCGAATCGCCAGCACTTTGGAGGCAAGTCGCATGGGGTCGTTACAGCTGTCGTGTCTAATTGCGTCCGCGAGAAAAAAAAAAAAAAAATGAGCTTTATCATACACGGAACGAGGGAGGGAGGAGGAGAGAAAGAAAGGGAGGGAGGGAAGGAAGGAGGTTGGGGGGGAGGGGGAGGGAGGAGAGGAGAGGAGAGGAGAGAGAGAGAGAGAGAGAGAGAGAGAGAGAGAGAGAGAGAGAGAGAGAGAGAGAGAGAGAGGAAGAGAAGAGAGAGAGAGAGAGAAGAAGCGAAAACGGAAAAAAAACAGACAGACAGAAGAGCCAGCGAGAAGAAGCGAAAGGCGGGCCTCCCTCCGCCCACGCCCGTTGACCACCCTTCCCGGAGCCGAGGTCCGTGAGCGCCGGCAGCCAAGTGGCCATTTAACTCTCGGCCGAATTCGTCGCAACTGCCGCCGAAGGAAGCGAAGGGCGCGGCGGCGGAGGGCGGGAGGAGGCCCTGTTGGCGCTCTCCGGGACGGCCTGATCGCAGGACCGGTTATCTCATCGGCAGCGCCATTACCCGGTCCCGACAGGCTGGCGAGGCATTACTGATATTGACCATGCACTACTGCTAGTCTGCATTACGACCCAAAATAACTTGTAACTCCAACGTATTGACGACCTAACGGACCCCTACGATCCTTCTATCGATTCCTCCCCTTCCAAGACACCAATACCCTCTGCCAACAGTAAAGCCCCCCCTGCCGCCCGCCCCTGCCACCACAAACCCGCGCGGTGGCAGTAATACCGTAGGTTGTGGCGTGGCCTTGAACCCGCGCCGCTGATGACAGAGGCCTTGCTCGAACCGCCCTCGCTGAAGCATTGCCAAGGAGTGTTTGCCGAGAAACCGGACATCTGGCTGCTTTCGACGTTGGAACGAAGCCTCACCTCCCTTATGTACCCCAATTCTTGTTTACCCGCCCTTCCCCTTATCTTTTTAATTTGTTTCCATAAAGTTCGTTTCTATCGCTGGTCCCCCCTCCCCCCCCTGCCCCACACCACCAGCAACGGCAACAAACAATGGCGCAGAGCGGATGTTTCTATTCAAAGGTTTATACGGACATCCTCTCATACAAGCATGACGCGTTTGGAGTGTTTGTCATTCCACTTGTGTACAGCAGCGCCCTGTTCACGGATTTCTCGCTCCTTTTCTGTTTACGTTTTGCAAATCCGCACTGAGTGTGTGCCTCGTTTTCGATAATTGTCAC